CTAATCATATTGATTCAATGCACCTTGTCTATACCTCTCCGCCAATAGCCCTTGAAAAGGCAGGTCCTGACTGCTTGTTCTTGCTGTCTTGTAATGGCACAAGACAGATCTGGACAGGCTGGATCAATGGGCTGAGGCCAACTCTATGAGGTTCAATAAGGCCAAGTGCTGGGTCCAGCACTTGGGTCACAACAACCCCATGCAGCACTGCAGGCTTGGGGAAGAGTGGCTGGAAAGCAGCCCAGCAGAAAAGGACCTGGGGCTGCTGGTCGACAACTAGCTGAACATGAGCCAGCAGTGTGCCCAGGTGGCCACAAAGGCCAATGGCATCCTGGCCTGTATCAGAAATAGTGTGGCCAGCAGGACTACGGAAGGGATTGTCCCCCTGTACTGGGGACTGGTGAGGCCACACCTCAAATCCTGTGTTCACTTTTGGGCCCCTCACTACAAGACCTTGAGGTGCTGGAGCATGTCCAGAGAAGGGTAACAGAACTGGTGAACTGTGTAGAGCACAAGTCTGATGAGGAGTGGATGAGGGAGATGGCAATGTTTAGCCTGGAGAAAAGGAGGCTCAGGGGAGACATTATGGCTCTCTACAGCTACCTAAAAGGAGGTTGTGGTGAGGTGGGGGTCAGCCTCTTCTCCCAGGCAACTAGCGATAGGGTAAGGGGAAATGGCTTCAAGTTGCACTAGGGGAGGTTTAGATTGGATATTAGGAAAAATTTCTTCACTGAAAGGGTTGTCAAGCACTGGAATGGGCTGCCCAGGGCAGTGATGGAGTCATCATCCCTGGAGGGATTAAAAAGACATGCAGATGTGGCACTTGTCGACATGGTTTGGTGGTGGCCTTGGCAGTGCTGGGTTAACAGTTGGACTCAATGATCTTAGAGGTATTTTCTAACGTAAATGATTCCATGATTTTAAGTTCAGTTTTCATCTGATTCAATTCCTTGACCTGTAAAAACAATTTTCTCAAGGTGAGAATAGGGACCAAGTAGCCAGGGGGACAGGGGGAGTTTAGACTTTTTTGGTGGCTGACTGTATGGTTGTAGCATAGTTGTGTTAAAACTTCAGCTGAGATTAGATCTGATGTTAGAACATATGTGTAAATTCTGTATAGTAAGGATTAGGGAAGGTCAAGTCAAAACATTGTGTTTTGAGTTGTATCCCTTCTGAAATCAGTACCCAAAGTTTTAAATGTTGTATATAGGATTACTATTTAAAAGAGACAGTCCAAAAGTGCATTTAAAAAAAAAAAACTTTTATGATCCCAGGTGTCTACTACTTTATACCTTCTGTTAGGGCCTTCATCTGCCAGTCCTTGAGTCTGGAGTTGTTATGGTGCAGCAGTACAGATTGAAGTCGTGTTCTTTCATCTTTAAAACTTAACCTCCTTGTTACAGTAGAAGAGTCCCACAGAAATGGGGAGGAAGCTGCTTAGAAGAATTCTGGACAATTTTATACTTCTGAAAAGAGAGCTTGCTCACAAAAATGTAAAATGACACGCCTATGCTAAGTTACTCATTTGTAGTAATGGGTAGAGAAGATTGTTTTCTCTTGCATAGTGGACTTTTTTTTTAATGAGAGTCTTTCTGTTTATGAACTTCATAGTTCAATCCTCGAAGTTTCCCACAACTCACTGTGATAATCAACTAAATAGTATTATTTTCTTTGAAGAAATCTTTTTGACCCACCATACCAGAATGTTATATGAAAAGGACAGGAAGTTTTCTGGAAAGTTTGAAGGATCAATTATGTTGGTTAAACAGTTGGTTAATATGATATAATGAAGCTTTTTAAAAACTGTTCACCTTGCTATGCCATCCTTTCAGGAGTGAAACCTGATGTGCCTGTCTCTGTTCATGCACGCCTTTAACATGTTATCCAAAATAAAGGAAGTTTCAAAATAAACTATGTAGAACTTAAGAAATAAAATAATGAAGGTCTTAAAACGTGTTGGAAGACAGGTAATGATACTGATTCATCTAATATTTTATTTTGTTTTATTTGTTTGCTTGTTTCATGAAGTAAAACAGATACTTTGTGTTAGAGCTTGTGTTTCTGCCTGTGAATTTAAGAGACCCATTTAACCTATTTAATGCATGGATTGCATTAAAGTTTACTTGTTGCTATTTGTTAGAGTGTGGAAACAAGTCTTTGAAATTATGAATGCAACCAAACTCAATCTTCATCCTGGACACTTTGTTTCTTCATTTTTAACTATACTGTTGTGTCAGGTAGTACCTAAGATAACAAGTGTGAAACTAAAATGATGGAAGTTTGGATGCTTCACCATGCTCCTCAAAAAGGCTTATTTGGGGTACTGTTCTTTACCTGTGCTTCTCTCTCTTTTATTTTTAGAATATGGTATCCAGTTTTCGTGTTTCTGAACTACAAGTGTTGTTGGGGTTTGCTGGACGTAATAAAAGTGGGCAGAAACATGACCTCCTGATGAGGGCACTGCACTTAGTGAAGAGTGACTGCAGCCCAGCAGTTCAGATAAAAATCCAAGAACTCTATAGACGTCGGTACCCAAGGACGATTGAAGGACTTTCAGATTTATCAGCTATAAAACCTGTGGTTTTCAATTTTGTCAGTAGTTCCTCTCCTGCTGAGCCTGACCTGGCTGTTCCTGGCATTCACCCACTCCCTTGTTCTTCAGCCATACCTCCGTCTCCTTCCTCGCCTGTCAGTTCTGTGTTCCTCCAAGACACTAAACCCCACGGAGAGATGCAGCAGCCATCCCCTCCAATTCCACCTGTTCATCCTGATGTTCAACTGAAAAGCTTACCTTTTTACGATGTACTTGATGTACTCATAAAACCTACAAGTCTAGGTAAGTGTTTAATAGCTCTGGGGGTTGATTAATTCATGAAATAAGTTTTGCTAATGATGGTACTAAGTCTAGACTTAAATGGCTTTTTGCAGCTGGGGAAAAGTGGAAACTCCCTTCCCTTGTCATCTCTACCCTTGCCCTCTCTTCACCACTTGTTCCAAAATGACTCAGCTAGGGGCGGCAGTCTCGATCCACGCAGCGGTGGCTGGCAGCGAAAGCCACTGAAAACCGCTCCGAAAGTGGTCAGTGTCATGCGGGCCTGGCAGAGCTCCTTGAAGTACCTGGCACAAGGGCTGCAGTGGTCCCTTCCCTCGGCACCTACACCCAGGAACAAGAGAGAGTTTCCAGAAGCACTGGGGATTTTATTCCCTGTCTCCTGAGTTCTCATGATACTTCACTTCAGGGGCCTTTCCAGCAGGTCATGAGATGCTGGGGACAGTCCCTCCCTAGCTCATCTTGGATGGGGCAGGGGGAGCAGTCCCCCACTCTCTGAACCACAAGATAGTATAAAAAGAATTCACCAAAAATCTTTCCCATTTAACTAAAACTACAACATTATCCACCCTGAATATTTTTATACCATCACATTATATTGGATTTAAATCTTCCAACTATACACATACATATATATACATTTTCCAACAAGATACACATTTACAAATATATACATACAGGTACAGTGTTACAGTTTACCCAAAAATTAGGTCCCCTTGAGGTACGCAGTGTTTCCCATCTTTCTGCATTACCCACCAAGTGCAACCTGGTCCTTGAGCAAAAACAGTCCCACATATGGATTTGCCTTTGCTTGAGGTGGGATTAATCTAAACTGATTTCCCTAACATGCGTCTCAAGTGCACTATGGAGACTTTATCTCCCATCTATGGTGTGAAGGGGCTCTGATTGGGCAGGGCCGGCTCAGTTGACAGAGCCTCTAGTGTTGACTAACCAAGTAGCCTTTGCTAAATGCTGATCCCAATGCTTGAAAGTCCCCCTGCCCAATGCCTTCAAAGTGGTTTTCAACAGTCCATTACACCCTTCAACCTCCCCAGTGGCTGGTGCATGATAGGGGATATGATATATCCACTCAATACTATGCTCTTTAGCCCAGGTGGCAACTAGGCTATTCTTAAAATCAGTCCCATTGTCTGACTCAATTTGTTCTGGGGTGCCATGTCGACATAGGACTGGCTTTTCAAGGCCCAGGATGGTGTTCCAGGCAGTGATGTGAGGCACAGAGTACATTTCCAGCCATCCAGTGGTTGCTTCCAACATGGTGAGCACATAGTGCTTACCTTGGCAAGTTTGAGGCAGTGTGATGTAATCAATCTGCCAGGCCTCTCCATATCTATACTTGGGTCTACCTGCAACACCTTGACTTGGGCAGCTCGGCCTGCCTGTTCATTGTTGCAGCGTTCTTCATTTCCTTGGACTGGGGACACGTGTGTCTACATGGCAGACTCTCATGATCAGCTTCTCTACCCTGGCAGTGATGTCTTGCAACATTTTGAAAGCCCAGATGGGTTTCCCTTTACTTTGCCAATTGACCTCCTTGTCTAACCATCCCCATAGAGCGTTGGCCACCATCCATGAGTGAGTTTAGAGGTAAGTCTTGGCCACTTCTCTCATTTGGCAATATCCAAAGCCAGTTGGATGGCTCTGAGCTCTGCGACTTGACTTGATCCACCTTGTCCATCTGTGGCTTCTGCAACTCGTCATGTGCGGCTCCATATGACTGCTTTCCATTTCCGGTTTGTCCCCACAATGCGACAGAAACCATTAGTGAAAAGAACATAACGCTTTTCATCTTCTGGCAGTTGGTTGTGAAACAAAAGAATTAAACCCTGTAGCCGGGAGAATGCCGAAACTGAAACCAGTACACTGTTGAAAGCTCAACAAAAGCAATATTTATTGCAAAGAAGTAGCCAACAA